GCAAGCCATTAATAGACATGGATGGTGAAGGGGAGTGGCCAGCCAAGAAGTCAGGCTGGGAGCTGAGGTCTGTCAGTAGGAAGTACTGACAGGGGCATTACAAAGGGAAACCCATCTAGGACAGAAGAGAGAGGGGGACGATGTGGGTGTTGATCCTTGGAGAATGTATTTGTGCATTGACATCTGTTTCAGAGGGAAATGAAAGACCCTGAACACAACAAAAGATGAGCAATGCCAAGCAACATATCCTCCAATCAGAAAGTAAACAAGGAAATAGCAATAACCCAAGCTTCTTAGAAAGAAGGCAAAGGAAGACCCGGGCTTCACAAACACTTGTGGGCTATTTTGTCCATATTTGCTCTCAACAGGGCCTTCTCTCTTTTGAAAGTGTTCGGTAGAATCCTAAGGGAATAAAACCCACTCATTTTGAAGTAGGAATGAAATTTTATCCACAGCAGAGGAAGGGCCACATATGCCGTGCTGTATTTCAGCCCTGTGCTATGGAAAGAACACCAATGCAATGGCATATTCTTGTTTGAGGAGCATTAGAATCCTAGTGTCACTCAAGATCCAACAGGATTCGTAGACTCACCTCTCTCTGGAGATCTTTGGAGAGTGTACTGAGGGCTGGCCACCTGCACTGAACTTTGCTGAGGACCCTGGCAGCTGAACTGATCCTATCCAGGCACCTGAAGTCTAGAGGAGAGATAGGCCCTGAATTGGAGACTTGGTTGTCCGGCTGCCACACCAAATGGTGACATTGCCACTGTACCAGATCTACAAAGTATTTCTGTGGACGAGGTGCCTGTCTCCAGAGGGAGCCAGGGCTTGGAAAGCATCAGATACTGGACTCAAGCATCGTGAGGTATTGTGGTGCTTCTGTTCTCCTTGAAATGGAGAAAATCCCAGAGTCCTCTGCTTTGACATGTTCGAGAAATCATATCCCCAAAGTCAAGCAAACCCAACCTTTGTCTTCTCTCTGGTATGTGTTAGGTAGCATGGTTTTAATGTGCTTAGATCACCCAGCTCACTGCTGCTCCTGGTATGTGCCTCTGTTCAGTTCCCAGCAGATTCTTAGGGAAACTGCCACTGTCTCTATATCTTCCCTCTCTCTGCTTGCATTTTCCATAGCATAGACTACTTCTCTTTGCGTCTCCGTTTGCCATATAGTGACTTCGTATTCATGGACAATTTCTCAACATTAGTCGAGGATGCCAATTACATAAAACATTTCCATGTTTGAAGCAAAACAACAGAAGTCTCTTTCAAGAGGTTTGAAAGGCAATGGAATACCACAGTCTGGGTTTTGAGATTCGGTTCCTTTAAAAAAAAAATCGAATCTCAAGGTGGAAAGAAGGACCTGTGTCATAGACAGCCTTGAAACACTCTTTTCCTGAAAGATATTTTTGGCGGCTAAATAGTCCTATTATGGTGTATGTGACAATGTTGAGATGAAATGTCCTCCTCTCACTGACAGGGCTTCTGCGCTGCCTCTCCAAAGTCGCAAAGGGAGCATGCGCGTTCTACGTAGGTGTTGCACATGTCGCCGAAAGCCTAATTGTTAGTAGAGGGATTTTAAACAAATCATAGATTTCTTTTGCTGTGAGAAGCAGACTCTATTTGTTACAACTCTGGCTGGGAGCTGCTCATTGAGAAACAACTTCTTTTGAGATGGAATTAATACTAATTTTCTTTTAAGACTACAGGTGTCATTTGATCATTATAAATACGCCCGTGTTTATGTTGAGACATGTAGGATCACTCTGGTTAGTACCGGGTGATTTAGGTGAATGAGTGAGTGGCACTGTGTTTGCATTTTGTTTTCTTATTCCAGATGTGTGTGATGGTAACAGCTGTAAGTGCAGCCTGTTGGCTGAAGCAGGAGGATCACACGATCAAGGCAGCTGGGGTATACTGTAAGCTGGAGGACAACCTAGGCTGCAAAGCAGGAACTTGTCTTGGGAAGCAGTGAGAAATAAGAAAGGAAAAGAAAGAGGGCAGGGTTGTGTTGGCTGATTCTGTATCCTGTCGAATAATATCCAATGAATACTGTATAACCTGGGAAATACTGAAGGAAATGCACCTACCAGATATGAAAGTAAAATATGTAAGATGCTTCCAGACGCTAGGCACAGTTTCTGAGAGCCATGTTTCAGGATTCTTCTCATTCTATGCTTAATAACAGACGTTTCCAAATCATTTTGCCCTTCCTATAAGCTTGTACTGAGGACTTCAGCAAATCTGTACTTCCGGCTGCACAGAGGAAGACAGGAGGGGTCCTGATTTCTCCTGATGTGTCTCCCACTCATGGCCCAGGGTCCCCACCCACTTTTTATATTTCTACTTCTAAGCCCCAGTCATCTGCTGTTGGCAGTGTATAGTGTCAAAAACACAGCCATGCTCGTTACATTAAACAGGACCCTCGTCTGCTGACACTATGAGAGGCCACGGCCTCACTCCATGGCCGTCATCACACACTGTTGTTGACACCTGTGCTTTCTCGCTCCCTGAACAGTGGGTCATCCCATAGTTTCTGGCACTTTTAATGACAGCGGGGAGCCAAGACTTTAGGGTGAAGCTATTTCCAGTGAAATTCAATTATCTCCAGTATAGAGGTCACGAACTTGGGCCCTCTCGTGGGCTCCTGCCTTAAGCCTTAGTGCCAGAGGCCTTAGATACAGTTTGTACACCTGTTCTCTGAGTTGTCTCCAAGTAGGGAACAAAGATGCGTTAGGGTTACCCCACAGGCGGCTATGCACAGCAACGTCCCTAAGCTTCCCATGGTCACTGTTTTATTTGCTTCAGCACTGATAGTTTTCATTTACAACAGGAAACATTTAGTACATGACAAGTCAAAATTAACTTTTAAAAACACTGTATAATTTAGTCCTGATCATTTCTATTTGTTCATTTTCCTTATCTTTAGATCGCAATGGAAAATTAACTCCTCCAGACTGAGGGCTCTCACTTCTCTGTGTCAATGAGCTGCAAGGTAGCTCTAGCAAGCAGACATTGAAAGTGGCTTTCTATGAAAAACACTGGTAATGCCTTTCTGGCTCTAGAATGTAGTTTAAAAATGAACCCTTTCATCGTGTGTTTTCTTTTGTAAGAGATGATATGGAAGAGCCTTGTGCACACATGTATGATGCTTGCAGAAAAAAAGCCATAGGTCAAGTCCTAAATCAAGTCCAATTTTCTCTCAGTCATATGCCAGGTAGTTCCCACCCAGAGTAGATCATTGTACAGAAACGATGAGAACTGAGAAGGGGCGCTGTGCACAGAAACAACACTGCGCTACCCCCAGAGAAAATGTGTGTCACACAGCATCCTGGAAGCAAGAGCGTTCTTCCTCTGCACTTACATTCAGATACTTCACTCTCCCTAGTGAGTCTCATTTGCGAGATCCGTTTTAAAACCCTGAATCTTTTTAAGATTTTGGTTTTAGTTACTTCTATCAGAAAATGTAAAAACTGCAATACAAAGCCCATCTATCCTGGGATGTAGCATCTGAGAAATGGATGTTATTAGAGGCATCATTGAAAGGAAACATTAAAACACTTATCTTCGTTTATTTTCCTCCTCTAATGGATACATGGCTGGGTCCATGTAATTATAGCCAATCAGATCCGAGACAGTAAATCCAGTTATTCTGATCTATGACAGCTGTCTTCCAGAAACTGTGAAGCATATTGGTGTCTTGTTGGACAGATAAAGGGATACACAGTTTACAGTAGTATCTGCTGGCTGCATGCAGACTCTGGAAACCTTGTCAAGAGCAGGCCCAAGGGTCTTGTTTTCTACTTCTATCTCCATAGAAGATGACAGAAGTTCAAAGTGGTGAACTCCCTTGCATGGGTCTTCTGACTTGGCTGTTATTCCAGATCTAAAATTGGGCGACTGCCAAATCCCAACAGCATGTCATATCCAAAAAAAAAAAAAAAATCTACTCAGGCGGGACTTTTCTCAGAGATGTTACATCGAATATTGACATCTTATCAAGAAATCTTGATATTTAGTCAAGAACAAAAAAGACCAAGATAATGATTATGACATGACAAAAAATGCAAATCTTTAGGAAAGAAGGTTTGGGTATTGTTAATATTTCATATTCAAGTAACTACATAGGATTTAGGAACAGATCACATTTTTTTCTATATAGTTGTTTGAGTCTGTCTTGTAATTATGTTTATTGGGTCCATATTTTTAAAAATGCTTAAAGTTTCCTGTCACCTAAGAAAACATCTGTTGTTTTACCATGCTGTTTCAGAAGGCATCAGAGAAACTAGTATAAAAGAAAGCATGCAGTATGGCAATGTTACGGAGAAATAAAGATAGCAAAATTTGTGACTTCTGGCTTGGATGGCATGATGAGTTCACTGGGTAACTTTGTGAACTTAACTTGGGAACACTTGGAGGACAGTGAGGGAATTAGGGAGGCCATCCCCATATTGTAACTCCCAGAAAGTCATTTCAGTATGGAAATCAACCACTCTGCAACTGACACCGTGTTTGGCATCCCTTTCATTATCATTAGGGAGCTAAGGAGAAAGATACGTTCTTTCAAACAATACAAAACCAAGAAATGGAGGTGGCCCTGATATCTTAACTAGACAATGATTTCAAGGTGAACATTGTAGGTCAAACATAATACACTCCCTTACAAAAGACCAGAAAGACTGGAACTTTCCATAGAAGGTGACTGGGTCAGAGGTTAGAGGTAGCATTTACTTTAGGGTTTACTATAATGAACTCAACAATTGATAGTTTCTCTTTGATAAGGTCAGAAGTATTTTCTTGAAAATAGAAATTCTACACACGGAGAGGTCATCTTCTGTGATGACCCCAGCTCACATACCATAGAGTATTGTGGTCCACTGGGTATGTTTCTGGTGGTCCTGTATATGAGCTGGATTCAGTAGTATCATATAATATCTTCCTTCTGAGTGCTTGGTACAGTATGAATGTCTCTCATGTGCAGGATGAAGTAGTCAGAGAGGGCAGACTTTGAGTGATGCAGAATCAGGTGGTTTCTTAGGAAACCAGAGCCTCCTACACAGCCCAACCGCAACCGGATTCCAAGTAGACGGTGGTCCCTAAGCTCAGCAAGGCTCTGGATGGCATGGGAACCGAGTTAGGGCAATGGAGAAGTTTCTGCTTCCAGGTTTTCCAGCTGAAGGAAGAAAAAGCAAAGACAGTGAGTGCTTGGGGACTGTCAGAGGGCACATTCATGGTTATTTTCTGGATTTAAAAGCTGTCATGTGCATCTTTATCTGCAACCCATTTTTGTTAAGTGCTCAGACATCGATCAATATTTTCGTTAAGATAAATGTCTCGGGTCATTACAGATATAGTTTTACATTCATTTCATTATAAAACTGTAATTGATAGTTTTCTTGAAAATTTTTATTTATGTTTCTTCAGCTAGAATTATACCAAGTGGCCCAGGCTGAGCTTAGATTAGAGATCCTCCTGCCTCAGTTTCTTGAGTGCAAGGATTACAGAAATATGCCACTATAATAGGCCTTAGAAAATACATCCTAAATAAAATTCTTTCTCTTTGTTTACATTTTTCTTTCCTTGACCTCGTTAGTGACTGGGCCAAAATCCCCCAAAAAGAAATTTGAATGACTTTGTTTTACAACTTATTTCTAGATGAAAAACATTTTTTTTATTTTACATCCAATTCTTAAAGTTTCTTTCTGTTTTCTCATCAAGTTGTGGGTGTGGAAGACATTGTCATTCAACTCCCAGTGTGAAGCATGCCCATTGAACAGTAACAAGAATTCTGCCTGGGTGTGTGAGAATGTTGTGTGGATTTTCAAGTAAGCTAAGAGGATTATGAGAATGGAATGTCTTTCAATGAAGCAAGTTATTTCTCCTGTTATAACTGGTGAGCTATGAGGGTGTCTGCATGGCAGGTATAAAAGGTTGCAAGGGATTTTTACAAAAATTAACTTATTTGAGTAAATTTTGAACTTCAGGAAAGGTGCAAGAGTTGAGTGGTACAAAAGATGGTTGTTCACTGCTTACACAGATCCATCTGCTAACAATTATCCCACAGGCTTTTCCCCCTTTCGTCTCTTCTCATCCATGTGCACATCTATGTGTGCACATACATTCACACATACATTTTTAATCCATTTAACGTCATGCTGGTACGTATTTCCTAAGAACAAAGACTGGATCCAATTGATTTCATCATCAGGTGGGACAGCTCATCATGGACTGGAAAGCACTGAACACTTGCTGCTTGTGCCCTGAGCGGACCATTCCTGTGACCTGTCATGTAGGCAGCTGAGATGGCACAGACTAGAGCAACCCTGAGCACTATGTCAGTTGCTTGTTCTCAAGGAAGCATTGGTTGTTCCTCCCTCGGGTGCTGAGACTTTGGCTTTGGGTCTCCCAACTGTGACAGAACCCACTGCGTGTGTAGCTGCCATCTGGTCTCTTTACATTACCCTGTAGGGTACATGAATAGAGGAAGAGGCACCAACATGCTCACAGTCTGTTGTTTGCTGCACTGTAGTGAACTGAGTCTTATTATCTCCTCACTACAATCTGTGGAGTGGCTGCAGGGAAGCCACCTGCTTGCTTAGTCATCTCCTTTGGAGTCTGTTACCTTTCGCCATCTTTGAAGAAGTCGGGATCCAGTGCCAAGTATAAGATTTAGGATGTCAAGGTAGGCAAGGAACTTTTACAAGAGAGAAAAGTCAAAAGTTCATGGTCTGTGTTCAGGCACATTTGGAAAATGTTCTGTGGCTTGTAAAAATGTGTTGGGGGGGCAATGAATTGTCCACCTCTCTCCTACCTCTAGATAAAAATGAGTTGGGATAAATGTGTGGAGGCTGAGGAGAAGGGTAAAATTTAACAAGTGTGTATAGTTGCTGCTTGGGGTGGGGGTGCATACTATGAATCCTATCAGGAATTCCTAAGACTTAAGTTGAAAGTAGAAACATCTGAAAGGCAGCATGTCCCCCAAGACAGTGTCACAGCACAAACCAGTATTGATAGGGAAAGGAATGGAGAATAGGAATTCTTTGACTAATAATTTATATGCTCTGAACTGCTGGCTTCCCATCATTGTGAAGATGGCTGGCTCATAAGAGACCCTATATTTAAGGAGAGAAACTATCATCAACACAGACTCACATCTCACAATGAAGATGACTATTGATGACTATTCTGAATTTCTGTTTTAATCACTATTTATGATCAACATGTGAATATTTCTCTTCTTGATTCCATGGAGAAGCTATTCAAAATGTGAAAACTGATAATTCTCTCAGCTCACAATGTGCTGAATGGAAAGACCCTCCCTCTCTAGGAGTATAATTACTGAGTGTGTAAAATTACCCTTCTCTTTGCAAAGTCAAATCCTTCACACACCCATTCTTGCTAGATCTTACACTGACAAGGTGCATTCTTAGGGCCATAAGCTGCCCAGGAGAAAGGCTCCACTCTAAGTCATGTGATATCTCTGAAATCCCAAAACAGAACCCAGAATGGGAGCATCCAACTCATTCCCAAAATGCCCAAGGCAAGATGGGTCTACCCGTAAGGACTGGGATACCCAAAAAAGATTCAGTTTGTACAATCACTAGAGAAGATCTATCCAAACATACACCATCACCCCCATTCTCTGAAAAAAGGAAGATGGTTGCCATAGGTTAAAGCCTTGCTTATATGGGACATGGTTCTCTTTTGGAGATTATTAGAAGAACAGTTACATGTGTGACTGCCTTAGAGCAGTTGCTTCTTTTATCTTGCCTGAACTTGGTAGACCAGAGAACTCATTCCATGAAATGGAGATAGGCAAGAGGGGTTGGAGTGAAGTTTAACTTCTATCCTTTTTTATCCTTTTTTTTTTTTGAAATATGCCTTATTACTAAATATTGAGTTGTCTTGTAGGGCTAGCTAGGGTCATACATTTAACCAGACAGACTTTAAATAGTACGATAGGGCTTGGAGTAATTGGGAACATGCGTGAGGCTGATTGGACCCCTTGCTAGGCACTACTGTCTCTTTTTCTACTGATAATTGGCATGCTCGTCTTATAAATGCTTGTGATTTTCAAGCAGAGAGATTTTCGCCTTCTGCAAGAATCATTTGTAGAGAAATGACCGTGGGAGACATGCAAGGAGGTCATAGTTCATCTTTTGGTTCTCTTCTATGTTTTAAAAGGAAGTAATTTAGAATTTCTAGGAAGAGACTAGGACACCACAAGCCTTGATGAAAGGATACTAAGCCAACAAGACTAATGAAAAATGCAACATCTCAATACAATCACCCTGTGTGGCCAGTGACAAAAGCTAATGGAATCTGGAGGCTTACAGTGGATAGTTGCCAACTGAATTCAGTTAACGTGACAGCACTGGCTGTTCCAGTCTATAGCCTGCAGTCCTGGGCACTGTGATTGTAAAGGAATCAGCTAACAGTGATAGTACATGCTTTGGCATGTTGGACTTAGGTCTTAGTTACTTTTCTATTGTCATGAAGAGACCTATAAAAGAAAGCGTTTATCGGGGGTTTAGTTATAGTTCCAGAGGGTGAGTCTGTGACCATCATGACAGGAAGCATGGCAACAGGCAGGCAGGCAGGCAGGCATGGCAATGGAGAAGTAGCTGAGAGATTACATGTGATCTACAAGCAGGAGGCAAAGAGAAAGACATAGAGAGTAGAGAGACAGGGACACTGGGCTTTTGTAAACTAAAAGCCCACACTATGCCAGGGAAACAGCTCCTCCAAGACAAAACCTTATAATTCTTCCCCCAAAACAGTTCTATAAATGAGAGACCAAGCATTCAAATATATGAACCTGTGGGGGCTGTTCTTATTCAAACCATCACAGTATCCAGATTGCATTTTTCTCAAGCCTATTGATTCTTTCCCTGACTCAGTACTCCAGATCATGTTATTGCGCAACCCAAACAGAAGAGTCATGAACAATCGTGAGTCACTCTGTGTGTGTGCTGGGAACTGAACTGAGGTCCTCTGCAGGAGCAGTAAGTACTTGGTCTTAGCAATTCAACTGTCCCTACAGCCCCTGAAGTACTGTTTGAATTCTGCTGTGGCTTGTTACTATATGGGAGAATCAAAACACAAGCCAACCCTGTTTTCTCAAACCTGAGCTGGGACCATTATGTTGATGATTTTGTGGTCATAGGCTCCCAGTAAATGATCTTGGGAAGCTCATTAGGTCTGATAAGACACAATGATCAACCATTTATGTCAAAGCCCTTAGAAAAAGTATGGTCCATTCCTAGAGACATCAATGAAATCATTTCTACCCTTGGCTTACCATGATCAGAAAGGAAGCCTGGTACTGAATGGGACTGTTCAGATGTTATCTGTGCATTTATCCTGTTGAATTAAATGGGAGTTTCATCAAATTTGGCTGGGAACTTAAGCAGCAGAAATGACATTGGAAATGATCCCAATAGATCAGCCAGAAGCCCTTTTTGAATTGCAGGTCTCTGGGAATGGAGTCAGCCCCTAACCAGCTTTATGTAACCCTTGGGATTGCAAACCCATATGTCCTGACACCTGACATTAGCCACTTTGTCAGTGGAAGAAATGCCTTAGACCCTGAAGATACAGGGAGGACATAATAACATTCCTGTTACCTCACAGCTTCAGTCTGGCCAAACAAACTCATGACTCACCAGAAATAAGCAGTGGCCTGCCAACTGTGCTATGGCTGCATTTACCACCCCTGTCCACCTGCTGTGGGAGCAGAAGAACTGCTGTTGGCAGGCTTGGCTCTCAATGATCCTGCTGTGCCTGACGTTATTAGAGGCAGCTCTAGACAATGAATCCCTCTTGCATGTGAACTCACAGAGAGTAACGTTAGTTATGCTCCTGTCCATGACCTTTCTTGTGCTTCTCTTGACACCTAATGCTATGTAATGTATAGTGCCTGGACTGCGGCCACTGGGTGACTGTGGCCATCTGGTTTAGCAAACCAATGCAATGACAATCCAAATCAAGTTTTATCAGTGACACCTGACAAGGGTTACCCACCCCATTCCATTTTATGTTTATATGAAAGGCAGAGAGAATCCCATAGGGTTTCTTTCCAAGGGCAAGATTGCTCTTGGACTCATTAATTTTTGTGTGTATATCCATGTGTGTAGAAGGCAGATCAACTTGGGTTAACGTTCTCTATTGTTC